TTTATTGGAGAGTTAAAATACTTCTTTTTCTTATTAGAAGGCTTCGGCTACAGACAGATACTAAATACTAAAACTAAAGTCTTCCTGTCAGCATGCTTCCATTTTTAATACCAAATTTTATTACAAAGAACATCAAAATAGTTCTGTTAAATCAGTCAGATAGTCTTTTATTGTTTAATTATCTATTCAATTTGAAAGCTGAAACTCAGCTCCTTTTAAAACCATGTCAACAACATCCAAGGCTGCAAATTGTATGAGTTGGCATCCCAGTGGCGACACGTTTCCATGCAAACAAGGAAGTTTGACTAGAGCGACTCAATAATTCCTCACTGCAGCTTTAGTGTTCCAGTTAGCAGCAGAGCTGTTGCTGCCAGGCCGATGGGATTAACCTGTATAAATAAAGGTCGAATCAATTTAACAATCAGTTCATATGTAAATAAGTAAGTTTACCCATATTTTTAACACAACAGTTAAAAAAAATAAAGCCTTGCTTAGTGTTTCTGTGTGCTTTCACTTTAAAGGGACAGTTCAGGTGATCTGAGGTTATTTGCAAGTGAAAGCAGAGACGGCAGCAACTGGCTGGAGCTCATCCAGTGTAGCCTGAGCTCCCCGCAGACCGGTTCCTGCCAGATGAACTGGGTTATGCAAAACTGAACGCATCACACTAGAGAAACGCCACTTCCAGTCACTAACCAGCTGAAAAGGTTTTTATCTCTAATCCGTTTATGAGAGTTGAATTTAAATGGCTGACATTTGCAGGAAAATAAGGAAAAAGCACATGATATAAAAATATGTTTTATATCAATATATTAAGTTGCCTTTATGCCTATTCAAACATATACATTTTGTGTGTGTTACTTTTCAGAATTAAATGTCTAAATTGCCATAAAAGGCAAGGGTGGAATGATATAGGAATGATTATTTTGATGCTTTTATGTCAATTTATACTTATTTTACACTCATTTACATGTAGTTTGAAAACACACTTATACAACGTGTTATTCACATATTAGGGATTGTATGCCCGTTCAAACATATACTTTGTGTGTGTGTTACTTATAGTATTTAGACACTCTTTGATGGTTTGCAGAGGGATGGAGGGGTGTGTGTTCCCTCTTTAGGAATGCTTTGTAAAAGTTTAAGGAGTATTTCTGGCTTCAGGGTCTTGGCCCGCCTTGAGGTCACCATGCTCCTTATTGGTAATAAATCACCAGCTCCTCATCCGTTGTTCTGGTAACCATCAAACTTGTTTTTCACTGCTCTCACGCGATCCAGTCAGGGAAAAGGTATAAGAGGAGGTGTGACAGGCAAGGGAATTTTGGAAGTCTTGTGTGGACCAGCGCGCGCGGTGCCATGCAGTTGATGATGTGATTCTTCTTTACCTGGGTCGAAAACGACTTCCCGGCCAGTGTCACGGTGAGAAGTTCTCTCATATCAATTTGTGTGTTAAGAGTGTACGAGTGTACATGACTTTTGTTTGGCTGTTTTCTGTGGCAGGTTAATAAATGACACTTATTATTCCTAGCAGTAACAGTCTCTGTGTTTTATTTTTCCCTCTTGTCTGAATATCTTGTGCCGATCGTTCACGAACCCTTTTGATAAAGAATTTCATAATACAGCACATAAAGCTAAAATTAGTTGAAAAGTAACTAAAGAAACTGATATCAGCAGAAAAGCAGCTGAAAGGAGCATAAAAAAATGTAATTAGACAAAAGCACAAAAGGCGAAAATTAGCAAAAAAATTATCTAAATACAGCAGAAAAAAAGGCTTACCGTAATTTTTGCTGTATAAGTCAGTTTTTTTGCATAAATTAGCATGCCTGCAACTTGTACAGCAAAGCAACGTATTTATGTTTTTCCCCAGATTTACAATCCAATTTTTGGCCGAGATCTGACGATTTCATTCATTTTGACATGGAAAATATTGAACGCTACCATTTGCAGCCGCTAGAGGGCCCTTGAGTCATATGGCAAGCCAAGTGTTTCATTAATAGGTAAAAGTGGCTGTTAATGAGACACTTGGTTTGCCATACAGAGCCACCTTCGTCTCGCTCCAGGACTCCTGGAGCAAACATGAAATCAGCTGCATTTCACCGTGCCGCCCAGACAAAATGCAGCTGATTTGACCGTTAAAGTGCATTTATTAAGGAAAAGTTCAACAGAGACACACCTTTACTGTAATTTCCAGCAAATAAATAATTGTTTTTAAGTGTTTATCTTGTTAAATTCTTATTAAAGTCCTCCCGTTCACGCTCCCGCGGCTAATCGATTTTTGACACAACACCGGCCCACATTTCCAGATTGTCAGCGGTGACGCGTAACAAACGCGACGTGTCAGCGGTGATGCGACTTATACTGCGAAGCGACGTATTTATGTTTTTTCCCACTTTATTAGACATATTTGGACAGATGCGACTTATACGGCGGCAAGTACGGTAAATAATCATAAAAACGCCTAAAAAAAAAAGGTAGCTGAAAAAGCTAGAGAAGTCGAGAGGAGCATAAAAAGCTGAAATTAGCAGTAAGAAGCCGAGAGGTGCTGAACCAGAACAACAGCTGAAATGATCAGTAAAAGGTTGAAAACAGCACAAAGGCTTTGAGGAATGTGAGGTGATCCAGAAACATTCACAGAAATTGGCGTTAGCACGAACAGCTATGAAACTGTAAGACCACAGCAAGACATTTCTCCTGGCCTCGCTCCAACTAGTCATTTGCTCATAAACCCGGTCAGAATTAAACTCTTTTTCTTCAAAGTGACATTGGAAGAACCATCTACAACAGGTAAGATATTTGTCCATAATCTTTCCTCAGAGCCCCACATCAAAATATCTGAACTATATCAGAGGATTACTCACTGAGATCAAATTGCTGCAGATCAGTTTATCTTTTATTTTTACTTTATATTCTTTGTCAGTAGCAGAACAACTTTAAAACCCTACTGTCCTTATTTTAGACCCAATCATAAAACACCGACCTGTTCACATTTATCTCATTGCCGCTATCCCGTTTGTGAAACACCATGGTGTAGCGAGCTATGCCAGCAGGTGGTCGTAAGATCTTCATTTTCTGCAGCTCAACCCTGTCACAAAAAGCAAGGAGTAAATATTATTTATGTCTATGTGGAATGAAATGAAGCCCTTGTAATCTAACGTACTGTATCTTACCTGATGCGGAGGTCGTCATCTTCCCCTCCCCATCCCCAGTAATTGTTCGAGAATCCGTTCACTTGAAAAAACTGGTCTCGGGTCAGGGCAGTGACTCCCCCAAAGTATCCTTTGTAACGCAGCCTGTGGAGAAAACCAATAAAGAAATACTATTATTTATTTAAAATGTGGAACAAATCCTTAAAAGTTATGCCGTGCAAAATACGACCGTTCATTTGAGTTATGCACAAACTCCAGACTTGGACTATGTCACAAACTTACTTGTATCCTGTGACGTTGCGGCCAACCACCATGTGTTTCGGCTGCTTGTCGCAGATGTACAAGTTGTGATCATTTTCAGGAACCAGGTCCACGTCGTGGAAGACGAAACAGTCCCAGCTGAAGTCCTTTAGCGCCTCCAGGTAGCCAACATTCAGTAACTTTGCTCGATTAAAAATGGCATCACCGGCCTAACAACAGAAAACAAACTTTAATCTCCATATATGTATGAATACATGACATAATATATATGAATGTTTCTGTTCAGCGCCCTGAGATGACTTATGTTGTGACTTGGTGCTAAATAAAGAAAATGAATTGAATTGAATAAAAATAACTGGAGAAATTCCATTTCCTGTGAAAATGCTGTGTGAATGCTTATTGCTGAAGAATTTGCAGAAAACAGCTGAAATTAGCTAAAAACTTGCTGAATTGTAGCTGAAATGGAAGAACAAGCCTAAATTGGCAGACAAAGGCAGAAAGAGCCTGTTTGCTGAATTAGGTTTAAATAAGTAGAAATGAACACAGACATAAGTAAATTAGCTAAAAGAGTTGAAATTAGCAAAAAACAGCTGAATAGCTGAAAAGGTAGAAAAAGCTTAAACACCCAGAAAGAAGCAGAAAGAGCTGAAATGAGCTAAAAAATGTGGAATTAGCTGGAAAAGCTAAAATTAGCATAAAACAGCTAAATAGTAGCTGAAATTAGCAGGAAATGCTGAAATTAGCAGGAAAAAGCTGACAGGAGCATAACAAGCTGATATTAGCATAAAGAAATTAATTAGACTGTAAGTAGCAGAAATGACCACGTAAAACTTGAATTTATATGAAAAGAGCTGAAATTAGCTAATTCATGCTAAAAATGTGGCTGAAAATGTAGAACGAGCTTAAATTAGCAGAAGAAAGCAGAAAGCACACACATTTGCTCAATTAGGCTGAAAGAAGCAGCAATGAGTGCAAACAGTGGAAATTATATGAAAAAAGCTGAAATTAGCAAAAAAAACTGCTGAAAATAGCTAAAAAAACAGAAACATCTTAAATTGACAGGAAAAAGCGGAGAGAGCATGCTTTTGCTGAATTAGGCTGAAAAATGTTGAAATGAGTGCAAAAAAGTGGAATTAGCTGAAAAAGCTACAATTAGCATAAAAACAGCTAAATAGTAGCTGAAATAGCAGAAAAAGCTGAAACTAGCAGAAATAAGCTAAAAGTAGACTAATAAGCTGAAACTAGCAGAAATAAGCTAAAAGGAGCCTAATAAGCTGAAACTAGCAGAAATAAGCTAAAAGGAGCCTAATAAGCTGAAACTAGCAGAAATAAGCTAAAAGGAGCCTAATAAGCTGAAATTAGCAGAAACAAGTTATAAGAAGCATACAAATGCTGTAGGTAGCAGAACAATCCTGAAAGAAGCACAAAACAGCTGAAAGTAGCAGAAAAAAGTTTTAATTTGCACAAGGAAGCTGAAAGAAGCTGAAGCAGAACAAAATGTTAAAGGAGCAGTAAAAGGTTGTGAACACATCTAAAGATCTGATTTGAACTGTGAAAATCGCTGTAATGTCACTTGGTTGTTGACATGTGCTGCTATCCATGATGCTGATCCCATGCTGCTGATCATTTCATGTTGATGTGTTCATTAGTCCTCATCTGCTCACACAGACTCATGTTCGTGCTGCTGTTGTTTTGGTGCGTTGTTTTTGTACTGTTAGTGCTAAGTGTATTCTTATTTCATGACTCGGATCTTACTAATGCTTTTCTGTACAGTTTGTGTTTTGTTGGGATGTAACTGGGACCCTGTGTACATAGTTTGGTCCCACCTCATGTACCACATGTGGTGTGTATGACAAATAAATCTCTCTGAATCTCTGAATGTAAAATGAGCTCAATTATTTTCCTATGAGGAAAAAAAAGTGTCAGAAAAGGCTAAAAGCTAAAGTTGCCAAAAGTCTCCTGAACGAACCGAATGTTTTGATGTATGATTTGTTGAAATAGCACAAAAACTGTGGAAGGAGAAAGATGCTAAAAAACGTGCAGATGAAAATAGGCTCACAATAGTGTGACTGCTTCAGAAGTTGTTAAAAGCTCATTGTACGTTAAACTCTAATTTTGGACTCATTGCGTTTTAAAAGCAGGCGTGTATTCAGGGAAGAAGCAGAACAGTTACAATAAACTTGTGTTCTTGGTAATGAATAGCCAAAAGTTATTTAAAAAGTGCGTACAATAGTTTATAAGTTAATAAATAACTCTCCGCATGAGACTTTGAGGAAGGTTTATGTACTTATTCCTAATTAAACACAATAAAACCCAGATAAAACCCTCGGAACAGATAATAGAAACAAACAAAAAATGATTAAATGGAGCAAAACAAACAACCTTGATGGAAATGTAGTTAAAAGTATCTCAAATATATTCAGATAGTAATTACCCAACTCTAACCTGAAGCCAAAGCTTATTTGCATGTTTTTTAAAATATAATTTTATCACAGATAAGTCAACACGCTTTGAAGTTTCTTCTCGTGTGTAAGAAAATAATCTTTTGAGTTCTAAAGTATGTATTTGACAAGTACTTTTTAGTTTGTTTTAATGTTTCAAGGGAGAAAAATATCATTTTTAAATAACTATATATATTTTTTTTCGGATCTTTTTCTTAAGTACCGGTAGGTAAAAAAAAAAAAAAAAAAAGTTTCTCACCCGTTTGATACTGACAGAAATACAAAGAAATCACAGCTGTTCATTTTTTATTATTTACTTTCAAAACAAGCTGCCAGGTCATCAACAAACAACAAATGTTCTTCTTTATAGAATTGTTGTTGTACCTTGGAGCTCCTGGGAGCTTGAATTAGCCTGATTTGGTGAAGAGTAAAAAGAGAAAAACTTTGGATGTTCTCTGTCTGCTGGACCCAGTTCTGGACTACAGTCTGTGGGGGCAGCTGCTGCGGTCGTTATTACCATCAAGCTGCTGACTGGACCTGCTAACAAGATCCTCCAAACATCTACATGCACATGCAGTACGGACCCATTTGGTTCCACAGGGAAACCTGGGATGTTCTCTGTCTGCTGGACCCAGTTCTGGACTGTGGTCTGTGAGAGCAGCTGCTGTAGTCCTTATTACCATCAAGCTGCTAACCGGACCTGCTAACAAGACCACACCGCTAACAGAACAGAACCATGATGTTGAAAAAACCTCACTGCTAACCAAACCACGCTGTAGATCCAACAATTTTCAGTCAGGTCATCTGGACAGTTTTACTTTTTGTGCTGAAACGTTTCACCTTCCATCCAGAAGGCTTCATCAGTCAAGGAAACACACCACAAAACTGATTCTTCCCCCAAACAGCTTACTCCACAGTGGAACAAACCAGTTAAGTTGGTGCTAAGACGGTGTCTTTGGCACGCCCCCTCTTCCGGTGCCGGCCCTCTCCCTCGTCGACAGTCATGTCAAACTGGTTCAAAACCAACAAAGTCCATGCTCAGTAATCCAGGTATACAATCCAACAATTTTCAGTCAGGTCATCTGGACAGTTTCTTTTTTTTTTTTTGTGCTGTAGATGTATCTCTTGTTCAACTTTGATGTCTTGTTTTTAGTAATTTGGTAGTACTTCTTAGTATGAATTTAGTAATTTAGTATTTTTTTTAGTATTTTAGTAGTACTTCTTAGTATGCATTTAGTAATTTAGTAATTTTTTTAGTATTTTAGTAGTACTTCTTAGTATGCATTTAGTAATTTAGTAATTTTTTTAGTATTTTAGTAGTACTTCTTAGTATGCGTTTAGTAATTTAGTAATTTTTTTAGTTTGCTTGTAGTAAATTGGTAATTTTTTTAGTTTGTTTTTAGTATTTTAGTAGTATTTTTTAGTATGTGTTTAGAATTTTAGTAGTATTTTTTAGTATGGTTTAATATTTTAGTAGTAGTTCTTTGTATGCATTTAGTAATTTAGTAATTTTTTTAGTTTGTTTGAAGTAAATTAGTAATTTTTTTAGTTTGTTTTTAGTATTTTAGTAGTATTTTTTAGTATGTGTTTAGAATTTTAGTAGTATTTTTTAGTATGTTTTAATATTTTAGTAGTAGTTCTTAGTATGCATTTAGTAATTTAGTAATTTTTTTAGTTTGTTTTTAGTAAATTAGTCATTTTTTTAGTACGTGTTTAGTATTTTAGTAGTACTTTTTAGTATGTTTTAATATTTAAGTAGTATTTTTGCTGCATGCTTTGATATTTTTTGTTGTTTGTTTTTATTGTCGAGTCGAGATGGTTCTTCTCGTTCTAAGCATGTCGTTGCATTGTTGACCTTGTGTTGATTTTCCATATGACAAATAAACCGAACCTACCCTAGGACCAATTGTGGTTTTCCCACTTTATCAGATCATCTTATATAGTGACTTATTACAGGATCAAAATGTGACTAAACTTTGGAATGCCACCTTGACAAACCAGTTCTGCTGCGCCCTGACTCCGCACATCAATAGTCCATTGTGCCGAGAACTACCTGGTGGATGACGTAAATGGCGTAGTGTAGCTGCTGCCTCTGCAGGAAGGGGAGCAGGTGGTGTAAGAGGTAGAGGAGGTGCCTCTCTCGGTTGCGGTGAGGGATGAGGATGGCCACGCTTTGCCTCGCGGTGCAGTCTGAAGGCTCGTACTCTCCTTCGCTCATTCTCTTGTTTTCCTTCTCGACATCCTTCAATTGTAGCGAGGATGCAAAGGTTAGAGGAACAACTCCCTCTGAGGAAAAAAACATTGGGAAGTTGAATCATTTGTCCGAGTCTAAAGGAAGTTTTCTGTAACCGTTTTATACTCGACGTAAACACCAGGAGACGCACTAAAAGTTAAGCAAACTAAAACAGATGACATGCACAGCAGAAGAGTTTAAAGTGACAGTCCGGAGGCTTTAAAACGAGGTTCTGTGGAAAGTTAACAATTAAATCTTTACTTAAATGGCTCTTTGAACATCCGCAGTCCTCAGAAAGAGAATAATTCTGAAGAGGTAAAGGCTAGTCCAAGACCAAAGAGGCAGCGTAAAGGTTTCTAAAAGAGCCGATACGGCTCGTTTTAAAATGGCAGCGAGCCACTTCGATCTTGGCCCCGCTCTGACTAGCCATTAGCTCGTCGATCCAATCAGAATTAAACGATCTATTTAAACTGAGGTTGTTCAGAGTCATCTTCAACAAGTAAGATATTAAATGTTCAACCTTTCCTCAGTACACCACTTCAAACGAGCTGAATAATCACTTGGAGTCCAGTCCTGGTCCTCGAGGGTCATTGCCCTGCAGCTTTCAGAGGGTTCTCTGCTCCAACATGCCCGACTTTTTATTCAACCTTTATTGATACAGGTTAGTCTCACTGAGTCACCAGGACTCATATTCAAGAGAGACCTGCTTTAGACAGACAACAGATTTAGATTTTATCTTTAATGGCCTCTAACCAGCACATTTCACCAGTTTGGTCCTCCCTTCACTGGCTCCCTGTACATCAGAAATGATTTTAAAACTCCACTGTTGACCTTTAAGTGCATTAACGACCTTGCACCCTCATCCCTCTCTGACCTACTTCAACCTGTTCCTTCTGGACCATTGAGATCATCAGACCAGCTGCTTCTGGTTGTACCAAAAACCAGGATGAAGCTCAGAGGAGATTGGGCCTTTCCAGTCATGGGCCTTAAACTCTGGAACAATCTGCCCCTCGACATCAGACAGGCCCTTTAGTAACAGCAGCTGGTTTAAATGTGCTTTATAAATAAATTTGACTCGACTCCAATGACTTGAGTGAACAGGGGATTAATAAACTTCTGTCCAACTTTAAGAGGTAATTCGGTCACTGAATCAGGTGCTGGAGCAGAGAAACAAGTAAAACATGCAGGGTAGTGGCCCTCGAGGACCAGGACTGGGCACCTCCCCGGCCACAACTGCATGTTTCAACTGTTTTAAACAATAAACTACACATAAAAAAAAAAATAAAAATCCTTACAAAAGTGCTAAGATTGAGACAACACGTTCTCTACTCAATAATCCCTGTACTTCTGCCCCATTCTTTTTCCTAACTGTTGATTTATGGTCTCAATCCCATTGAGCTTCGGCTAACATGAGCTCTACAAGCAGGTAACTTATAATAAATGGTCTGTGCAAAACATCTCTTCACCGTAGCTAAAGTTTACAAAGAGCTTCTCGGTGGATTTCTTATTCAAACAGAAAGAAGCTGCTGTTCAAGCGGGACTAACTTGGAGAGCAGGATCTTGGGCAAAGTTATCTTAACTACAAATAAGACGTTGGACTGGACCAAAAGCTTTGCAGTTGTGTTCTAAACAAGCAAATGGACCCGAGGAGTCCATCTGCGGACGCCCAAAAGCTACAACCGTGACGGTAAAACAAACTCGAAGCTTTACATGAAGGAAAACCTGACGCATTAGGGATTATGTACATTCTGCCGGCATAATCTACGCTTGTATTCTAAGAATAACCAGCAGTTCAGCGCGCCGTGTTCATTTAGACGTTCATCTTCTTAACGTTAGTGTTTACTTACGGAGCAGCTGAGACTCCTCTGGGCATTGAGCCTTTTGTGCTGCGGCTTTCAGACGAGTGGGTTCTGCAGTCCACGGGTCCGGACCTCCTCGGAGGAGAGTTTCTGTCGCGACGGAGTCGCCCGGATTAGATTTGACCGTTTCACCAGGAAACATGGCTATCCACGCCAGCACCGACAGCGACACAACGAACAGCAGAAAATACTTGCTCCTGCACATAACCTTGTTGATAATCGAACAGAAGCCCATGGTTAGGTTGTTCTTTTTTCTTTTTCCAGAAGCGACAACGGTCAAAATAATTGTTTATGTTGTTCGGTGAAGTTGGAGATGTTTCATCCGAGCCGTGTTTGTAGATTAAAAAAATAAAAGCAGTACGTCAGCCGCAGAATAAGTGACCAATCGTCCCATGGCGGTGCCACGTGCTGCGTTACTGCAGAACAAATCAACTATTCGGCTGTTTTGTTGTGGATTAATAAAGAAGTCCCATGCTGGAAATTAGAAATCCATTCTCCTGCGACGAAGCCGAAACGTGACCCCACCAGCAACTGGAAACAGATTACGAGAAAAGAAAAGTGACTAACAAGCAAGGACACATTTGTATGACACACACACACACACAGGTAAAAACTTGATTTGCAAAAAATTAGAACAACAAAAGAAATTGCATTTCCCGCAAAAATGCAGTGTGAATGCTTATTGCTGAAGAACTTGCTGAAAAATAGCTGAAATTAGCTAAAACGTGCTGAAATGTAGCTGAAATGCAAGAACAAGCCCACGTTAACAGAAGAAAACAGAAAGAACATAGACTTGCTGAAATTGGTTTAAATAAGCAGAAATGAGCACAATTTGAAAATGAGCTTAAAACAATCTGAAATTAGCCAAACATAGCTGAAAAGGCAAAAAGAAGCTTAAACTACCAGAAGGAAGTTGAGAGAGCACAACTGTGCCCAATTAGGCTGAATCAAGCAGAAATTAGCAAAAAAAAATTATCTGAAAAAAGTAGAAATGCGTTACAAAAACAGCTGAATAATAGCTAAAAAAGCAGAAAGAAGCTTAAATTAGCAGACTGAAGTAGAAAGAGACATTTTTGCTGAACTAGGCTGAAAAATGTTTAAATGAGTGCTAAAAAATGTGGAATTAGCGTAAGAAGCTCAAATGAACATAAAACAGCTAAATAGAAGCTGAAATAGTTGAAACGTTCATAAATAAACTGAAACGAGCATTTCAAGCTTAAATTAAAGCACACAAATGTAAGAAGAATAAAGCAGCACAAAAGAGCAGAAAAAAACAGCTTAAATTAGCTGAAAGTAGCTTAATTAATTAAAAAAAAAAAAAAAATTTGCACAAGGAAGCTGAAAGAAGCTGAACCAGAACAAATTGCGAAAGGAGCAGTAAAAGGTTGTGAACAGATCTAAAGATCTGAAGGATGGAAAATGAGCTCAGTTCATTTTCTATGAGGAAAAAAGTGGCAGAAAAGGCTAAATATCTCAAAAAGCTAAAGTTGCGCCAGTACCAACAGTCCTAGCACCGTTCTCCTGAACGAGCTGAACGTTTGGATGTGATTTGTTGAAACGGCACAAAAAATGAGAAAGATGCTGAAAAACGTACGGATGAGAAGCGGATCCCAATCGTTTGTTTGATCAGATTTAAGCGTCGAAGCATCTCTTTGCTTTTCTTACATCACATCCTGCTCGGCGACTGGTTAACGCCACGTCTGGGAGCCGTCTAGTTCCTGTTGGGGAACATTACTTTCTGTTTGTTCGCTCTTTTCAAGTCACAAATCATTTCGTAACATCTATTATTGCTACCTCCTCTACAGCATGGAGTTTTAGTTCAGGGGACCCAGTTTGCTGTCCTACACCAGTAGACCTGCTCAGCTGATGGCGTGTTTATCTGCACGCGGGACTGAGATCGAACTCTCCAGATGGATTTGAGCTGCAGGTCTGAAAACTCCTGCTTCAAGACGTCCACGTTTCGTGCAGCATCCCCATCAGAGCCAGGTCCGCACAGAATATTCAGCACGCGTGGGATCTACTGGAGCCTGGGTGTGTCACAAGGACTCGCTGAACTTGAATTGGAGCTGCACTTGACTGGAACAGAGAAACATTTCAGACATGCAGGAGAGCAGGTCATGAGTAACACATAAAGTATCTTATCAAAGTACTCAAGCTCCACCAGCCCTTATCTCGTCCACCACCATGCTGAGCTGCAACATGTGCATGTCTGTGATATCCTCCTGAGGTCTTGTGGACATTAATGTGAACTGAAGGACAAACTGTTCATCACTTGATTTCATAATCAATAACTGTCTTTAATCACAGTGACACTTCAAAATAAAAGCTCTCTCCATCTTTCACTGATTTTTTACTATTCTGAGCTGAAGATTGACCCCGAACTGCTCAAATTAGTGGGGAATCCCTGGGGCTCGAGCCAATTCGATTTGAAACACAACTATCACACATTGCAACATGCAGAAAACACAACGAAGACGTCTAACCCCATCGCGAAGCTCGATTTTGATTTGCGCATCTTCCGCGTGTTTCTGGGAGGAAGAGCCGAGCGGACGTGGACGATCAAAATGTTCGCACAATAAATGTTTTTAACAACGATGGGACTGATGTGTTACCTTTACATCGCAAGCGTCTTCTTCCTTTGTCGTTTAGTGTGTTTGAGAAGAGAAGTTAGCAGCAGCCGTGCTCGGACGCGCTCCTCTAGCTAGCGAAGGCGGAAGTTACGACACAACCGTGTTTTAAAAGTTTTATCAGAATAACAGCAGCTACGTAAAGGTTGGCATCGTCTTCAGGAACAAACCCGTTTAGTTTACATATTTCATGCTAACAGACTGGATGGCATCTCTACCTACAACAACGTGTCAAGTCAACAAACCCGCACACGGACTTCCGCTTACGGTATTTTCACAATAAAAACTTGATTTTTTATTTTTTTTTCAAAACCAAGAAAATGTCAACAAAGTCCATGCTCAATAATCCAGGTACACAATCCAACATTTTTCAGTCAGGTCATCTGGACAGTTTCTTTTTTTTTTTTCTTTTTTTTTTTTGTGCTGAAACGTTTCACCTTCGATCCAGAAGGCTTCATCAGTCAAGGAAACACACAACAAAACTGATTCTTCCACCAACAGCTTACACCAATGTGGAACAAACCAGTTCTGCTTGCGATAAGATGGTCTCTTTGGTACGCCCCCTCCTCCATTGCCGGCCCTCTTCCTTGTTGACAGTCTTGTCAAACTGGTTGAAAACAACAAAGTCCATGCTCAATAATCCAGGTATACAATGATGAAGCCGTCCGGACCGAAGGCGAAACGTTTCAGCACAAAAAAAGAAACTGTCCAGATGACCTGACTGAAAAATGTTGCAAGAAAATGACAGTTCGCTTCAACCTTTATTTATCCAGGTTAGCCTCATTGAGCCACGGGGACTCATTTACGAGAGAGACCTGTTCCAGACAGAACATATAAAGTACAGACAACAATAAGTAAGCTTAAACAATAATAATAAACTACAGTAAAAATGCAGTTAAAATAAAAGTAGTCGTATAAAACAATAAATCAGGGTGCAGTAAAACAGGGTGAAATACTAAAAACAAGAACATATTTGCTATGATGTATCTATTGACCTTATCAAATGTTTAAGATCCCCTAAATAAATAAGGTGGACAGCTTCACTTCTTGTTGCAAGGTGTTCCAGGTTACAGGAACAGAGTAAGAAAATGACTTTTTGCCAAGTTCAGTCCACACTGAGGGAACGCTGCAGGTAATGAAGGCCTGAGAGCGCACGCTGTAACTGCACTGACGACGTGACATGTGGGAGGAGATATAAGAAGGCAGCAGACCAAGGAGTGATTATAGGTGAAAATGAACCAGTGTATGAGCCTACGTGTAGATGATGATGACCAGCTGACCAAAGAGTACAGGGTGCAGTGATGGGCACGGTCAGTAGTTTCAACGAGTTATGAATCTTAGCTCACCATAGACAGCATCCAACATCTGCAAGGAGCTGGCAGGGGCATTCATGTAAACAATGTCATGGTCAATGGTCGGTAGGAAAGTAGCAGCTAGGCGTTTCCTGGCATTCAGAGTTAAGAAATATGTATTTCTGAAAAAGAACCCCAGTTTTAATTTCAGTTTCTTTATCAAATTGTCAATATGTGGTTTAAAAGAGAGATGTGCATCCACCAAAACTCCCAAGTATTTGTAAGAATCCACAAACTCAATAGGAACGCCATGCATGGATGAGCTAGGAGGAAGTCAATTTTATTTATATAGCACCTTTTATAAGTCAGAAACAACAAAGTGTTTTACAGAATACAAGACATAAAAGCACAAGATAAAAGATAAAAACACAAAAGATAAAACAATATGCGTATGACATGAGACAAAATTAGAAGCCAATTTGAACAAATGTGTCTTCAGCTGCTTTTTAAAAGTATTAAGAGAATCAAGGCAGTGTAAAGTCAGAGGCAATGCTTTCCACAGTCTGGGGGCCACAGCCCTAAAACCTTTATCCCCTCTGGTCTTAAAATGAGTCCATGGGACCATTAACAGCCTTTGACTGGAAGATCTGAGGCTCCGAGAAGAGGAGTAAGGCTCTAAAAGGTCAGAAATATAGACTGGGGCTTGACCACTCAGGGCTCTAAAAGTAAGAACTAACATTTTAAAATTAATTCTAAAATGTACCAGTAGCCAATGTAAAGAGATTAAATCTGGCGTTTCTACTTTGGGAGGAAGAGTTGCTGGCACCAACTTTCTGTTTGAAAACATCCCTTTGGTTTTATCAGCATTTAGCACCAGTTTGAGATGGAATAATTAGTCAGACTGAATGATGTCAAATGAAGCTGGACAACCTCGGCAACTGTGTGAGCTCAGCAATAAACAACTGTATCATCGGCATAGAGATGCAAGGAGGCGTCAGGAATGTTCTGACCCGCATTACTTTTAAATTGTAAAAAGAGTGGAACCTAAAACTGAGCTTTGTGGCACACCATAGTGACCGTAGATAGATGAAGTAGGTCGAACACAAAACGAACAAGTTTCAAGAAATACAATGAGAATGTAACAATTTTTATCTTTTAACTATGATATGTGACATCAAGAGCAATGATCTCCTTCCCTGAATCATTCTATTTGTTAGATATATTACGATAGTTGCCAAAGATCGACACTTTCTTCTTCTTGTTCTCCTTCTTTTGGCTGTTCTTTTCCTCAGGGGTCACCACAGTTTACCAACTCA